CGATGCGGGACTCGATCCCGGGACTCCAGGATCATGACCTGAGCCGAAGGCAGTCGCTTAACCAACTGAGCCACCCAGGCGCCCCATTTTTTCCTATTTTTAAAAACTTCATTTAAAATTAACTTAGGCTAATATTTTTATTCTCTTTAGTGCCAAATCAGGCATAAAAAGAAGCACCTGTTAGCTCTTGCTGATTGGCCTAAAATATTCCCTTCCCTCTTGAATTTCTGAGAAGCCTGAGGTTTGCTCGAGACTAGCCTAGGGCAGTGTCCACAGTCCCTACTTTCTAGTTAATTAAGTACATGTTGAAAATGCCTTTTCAGGGCCGCCTGCCTTCTCTCCTTGGGAAAGCACAGTGTGATACGGGGTCCTCCTGGAAACCTTTGTCCTCAACCCAGGATACTGAGGTGAGAAAGGTGCAGGTTGGGACATGAGGTAGGGTCTTAAGAGAGGAGGGGGCCCACCCTCACCCCCAGCCCCAGTGACTCTGGCCTCCGGTTGTTGAGGGCACTGACCCAGGACCACCATTCTGTCCTCATTCTGGGCCCCGAAGATAGGGGAGGGTCTTTAGAGCAGCAGAACCAACTCTTCCTTGATCTGGCCACCTCATGGCTAGTCTGTTTCCATCACCCCCGCCCCCCGCCCCAGCCCACAGGCCCTGTGGCTTTGCTGAGGCTGAGAGGGATGAAGGGACAGCAGGATGAGAGCTGCAGCAGGAGGCCACCTTCGGCCCCTTCGGCCCCTGAATCCTCGATGCACAGTCCTAGCAAGAACAGGGTCAGTGGGGCTATCGTCCCTCCGCCTGGCCCGCTCTCAGAGAGAGCAGTGCAAAGGGTCCCCAGGATTCTTGTGGGCTCTATCGTGGGCGCTCGTTAAGGCTGGCCACTCGAGGAAAGCACTGGGTATAGCCTGAGCTCTGGCTGCCACTCAAGGACTGCCTTCGGGCTGCCAGGCTGAAATGTCCGTGTGTGAGACCTCAGGGAAGGCAAACTTGCAAGACAAGGCCAATGACGCCGCGCTCCATCGGACAATGGGAACCCTCCTGCCTGCCTGGTCATAGTGGCAAAAGGGTGATTGAGATGTGCCTGAAGACCAACGGAGGGGTGTGTGTTGGTGGCAGGGGTCACTGGCGTGGGACCTCCCTGTCCTTCATGCTGGCATTTGGCTCCATTTCTCTTCCTGGCCTGGGTCAAGCTTGTCAGCAGGGCCGGGAGCCTGGTGGACGAGGCAATTGAAGGTTGTGGCCCCTAAGCTTCAGGGCTGTGGGGCAAGGTGCTGCCCCTGCCCTGGCCTGGCCTCTGGGGACTGGAGAAGCCAGGACCTTGTCCTCTCTCACAGGTGTTGGGGGGCAGCCCTCTCCTGCACCACTGGCTGTGGGTCTGAGGTCACTGTCCGCCCATGCAAGTGTAAGGGTATAAGGAAGGCTGTGTTCTTAGAGCATCGGTCAAGACCAGCTGGTAGGGTCTCTGAGAAGGGAGGCTCTGCTTTGCTGAAATGTGTTCTGGAGGCTCTTTCAGGGCAGACACTGGCCTCTGGGCCCAGGCAGGGTGGCCCTGGCTTCCAGGGAGAGGGGATCTGCTCGCCTTTGTAGAGCAGGAGCAAAGTGGCCTGGGCATGAAGGGAGGCCCCAGTGGGGCTGAGCACTGTGTGGGTGAAGGTGAGGCAGGGAGGCCCAGGTGGCACAGTGAACTGTGGTCCCCGAGTTGCATGGGAAAGAGTGGCATTTAACAAAGGTTTTCAAAGACCGTGAGGCAAACCCTCCCCTCCAGCTCTCCCATGGGCTCTTCATGAAAGTCTCAGATGCTCACAAGCATTTGAGGGAATGGATTCTTTCTGGTGGACATGGAAAGAGGCTAGAGCAAGATGGAAATGCAGACTGGAGGCCAGGCCATGGGAGCTGGAGGCCAGGGGCAGCGTGGGTCCCGGAGTGGACTGGAGGGCTCATCCTAACCCCACGGGCATCTTCCAAAGCAGGTGGTCTCCTGCTCCCCTCATCGGGCTATGATCCCAGAGCTAGGTCCCCAGAGAATGAGAAACAGGATGTTCTCCCTGCAGGCTGCTGGAGGCAGGGCTGGGCATCTGCATGGGTGAGCCAGCTGAGAGACCAGCTCTTGCAGGAGGTCCCACCCAAAAAGCACCTACTACGGACGCTCCAATGAACAGTAAATTGAATGCCAAATTCTAAGTGGAAGAGAGAAAAGAGAAATGCGGTATCTTACAGGGTTCGCTATTGAGTAAGCACAGCATCCTCTATGGGGGCAGGAACCCCCTCACTGTCTTCCTGGTGGCTCTGGTCTGGGTCATGGGTGCTCATCAGGAGCCGTATTTGCTGCCCTCGGTGATTAGCGTGGTGTCTGGCAAGACACAGTGGCTTAATAAACAGCCACTGATTGAATGAATGAGGGAATGAGGGAATGAATGAGCCAGTGGGTAAGTTCAGGTCTGGATCCAGGCACCATGCTTGCAAAAGTTTCCCATTCAGTGTCCCCTCACTGGCCTGTGGCCAGGAGACACTGGCTTGCCTGTAAGCCCCCTTTGTCAGGGTCTCCTGACTGATGCTGACACAAGTCAGACTTTTGCTCATCCGATCTGGAGTCTACCCTAGAGCCTGTCTGGTTCTCATCCTCACTGCTGGGCTGGCCCCAGGGCGTAGGCAAGAACAGAGCAAATATCCCTCCAGGGGTCCTGTAGCAGGGACAGAGGGAGCAGGTTCCAAGGGCTCATGGCATTGTTCCTCCCCCTTTCCAGCCCTCCATCTACGCTTTCACAAAGATGGACAGACTGACCAACTGATGTGGGGCCAGTCCCCATAGCTGTCACAGTGGCCCTCTGGACAGGGCCAGGAGCACAAAGAGGTGGGCTCAGCAGTCAGGAGGATGTGGATTTAGGTCAGCTCTGCCCTCCCCGAGGAGTATGAAGCAGGACAAGTCACTTCACCTCTCTGAGCCTTGCTGTCCATAGGTGTGAAACGGGACACTCCGAGTAGTCACTGTGTAGCAGTGCTTGAGGATTCAGTGAGGCCAGGACAGTGCCTGGCACACAGGGAATGCTCAACAAAGGTCACTTATGACTTCTCACTTATGTCCCTCTGCCCTGTGAGGACTTGCTGGGTGGGTTCATCTTCTCTCTGGCCATTTTATGATTATGGAGACTGATGAGACAGGAGGCTTTGGCACCAGAGGAGAAGTGAGGAGTGTGGACAGAGAGAGAGAGAGAGCGTGTGTGTGTGAGCATGAGCGCACGTGCATGAGGTGAGTATATGTGGGTGCTGTGTGTGAATGTATGCGTGTGTAGGCATACCCACATCTGTGTGAGTACACGAGTGCACGTACACATGAATGTGTACACACACACACGGCATTTCTTGGGAAACGTGTGCACACGCACATGGCAGACTGTGAGTATAAGTCTGTGTGTGTGTAGAGCGTACATAACTGTGTGAGTGTGCGTGCACGGGGCCCCTGCACGCTGCTGGAGGGGCTACTCCGAAGGATGGTGCAAATCCGCCTTTCTGCAGCATTCCGTGTCCGTGGATTTCTCCCTGCCTCCCCTCAGACCTCGAGTCGCCATGATGCCCCTTCACCTTTGGGGGCACCATAGCTATGGGAGCTCCCCATTCAGAGTCTGTCTTCCCAGAGCCCATCTGGTGCCTGGCACAAAGAAAGCCTCAGCTCGTGGAGTAGATGCAGTGGATGGATTCCTGAGCAGGAGGCCCCATTCCGGGGGCAGAAGGGCTCACCACAGGGAGCCAAACCCTGGGCTGGGATCCACTTCACTGTCACAGTGCCCAGCAAGGTGGATGGGTGTCAGCCCAATGCCCGAGGCCATGTGGGTGTAACACTCTCAGACCCCACCAGGCGGAGCCACGTGCCCATCTCCACACCAGGCCCATCTCAGGCTTCTGGTTTTGAGAACCCACATTTCAGACCAAATCTGCTCCAAGGTCTCCTCGGCAGCTTGGCCTGAGGATGAGGTGCTGGCCTCAGGCTCCTGGGCTAGCTCTGGGCGGGATGATGAGTGGGGCTGCTCAGAGCATGGGGCTGGGACCCCTGCCCCATGCCCATCCTGCTCGCTCTTCCACCCCCCACTCCGAGTGGGCCCTGCCCCTGGGCCGAGCTGACCTGGGGAGCCACAGCCTCCCCAGGCTGGGCCAGTGTGGGGCGGTGGGGGTGGGGGTGGGGGCTGGTCCCCGCCCGGAGCCCTGAGCGCCGCCCTGGGAGGGAGACTGAGCTGAGGCCACACTCACCTTTCCAGCCCTGAAGACATCTCTTCACTAAACTCTGAGCTCTCACTACTGCCTGGAAAAGGAACACAGATCAATGAGCGTGGCAGCCTCGCAGAAGAGGGGCCAACCCCAGAGGAGTCTGTTCTCCTGGGTCAGCAGGCCCAGGCCCGAGCTCTGCAGAAATGCCGGAGAGACAGCTTTCTGACCCTGTGGGCATCCGTGTGACTCGGGGTGTTATTGCTATTTCTGATTGTCTCTCCTGGGAGGTTCAAAAGAACTGTCCCCTCCCACTGTTCCCAGGTAGGTCCTCCACTCCCTTCCCCCTGCTCCCCACCCCCCCGAAGGCTGTAGCTGCCTGCACACTGGCCCACCAGACTCTGCACCCTTGGCCTCTGTCTTGGCCTGGCCTGGCCCTACCACTGCCTCCCTCCTGGCCCAAGTGAAACCTGCGCTAGAACAAGCCTCACCTAGTGAGGACAGGGGCCAAATGAGCACTTCTTCTCCCAAGGGCCAGGACTGTCACAGCAGCTGCCTGGCATGACACAGAAGCCTTGAGGAAGTGGCCCTTCACCTCCCGGCCAGCATATACAAGAGAGCAGCTCCACCTCTCCTGGCTGCCCCTTTGCTCTCCAAGGCCCAGCTCTGGCCACAAGGACACCTGTCACTGCACGCTGCCGAGTTCTCTGTGCTCTCCCTCAGACCTTGGAGGTGCCTCGCCTCAGCCTCTGCCGGGGCTGCTTGCTGGCACCAACTCTGGGCAGGGGGAGAGGGGGATGGAGGAGGTCTCAGGTCCCTCGGGAGTCACCGGGTGGCGAGGGCTCCAAACAGGGCACATGCACGCAGGGCTTTCAGCTCCATACAGAAAAACGTCTGAGTTTCCCAAGAAGAAGAGCCGAGAACCAAATTGCCTGGTGATCCCCCGTCTGGATACTGGACAGCATTGTGCCTGACTCAGAAAACCGAGTCAAGGCCTGGGCTCAGGCACAGCTCAGAAAGTTTCCCGGATGTAAAACAACTGTCCTGCTGCCCAGCTGGAGGCTCTGGGGCTGCCGTTTCCCAGACTGGTTCCTCGGAACCTCCTCCCCATCCCTACCCCATTCCAGGACACTCCAAGGAAAAGGGTTCCATGACCAGACAGAGGGAACCTGCAGACTCTACTGCCTTTTTGGAGATCCAGAATGCCCATCGGCATATTCAAGTCTCTGGGAACAGACCCGCTTACCTTTCCCCAACATACCGACCCCGGAATTCTTCTCCCCAACATACTGACGCCTATGAACCACGGGCTGCACTGTCTTGAGCTGTCATAAACCCCTGACTGGGTCCAATGAGGATGACTTCCTCCCAGGCCAGAAGGCAGACACAGACCTTGCTTGTCCCAGCCTTTCTGGGGGTGGGAGACAGCTGCCCGCCCCCCCCGCCCCAGTGATACTGCCTCAGAGACCGGCCTCATTTCGCAGGGACCACCCTTCCCCTTCCTCCCGCTTCCTCCCGGTGCTCATGGGCCCCCCACCCCGCAGACCTCACCAGATCAAACCCCCGGCCTGGCAACTGCCTAAGCCGCCACCAGCCCTGGGAGGGCTCCCTGTTAAGGGAAGCAGACAGACACACGGACACACAGACTACGGAAGCACAGGCACACTGAACGGGCACAGCCAGTGGACAGTGTCCTTGTGTGATGGTAGTAATGACAGGTGACCTGGGCGCTGCAGGGGGACAGGCCTGTGACCAGAGCGCAAGAGTGAACTTGGCTCTGACTCAACCTCTCTCCATCCTGGCCTCAGCGATTCCGTTTCTCTTCCTTCCACGGACATAAGTACCATTTCTGGCTGAAGTTCAGACATGCAATTTTATCCCTGAAGATCAGTTTTTCATCCTCCCTAACTCTGGCTTCTCAGTGTGAAGACAAGTACACAAGAGGGACCCGGTGGTCCGCCCAGCTGCCGTCCCCAGGCAGCTCCCCCTACTTGGCTCTGCACACTGGGGCAGCAACCAGGCTTTGGCAGCGGCCAACCAATGACAGCGGGTCTCAGGTGTGCGTCTGGCGGCTCCTTCCCCCTGCCTGCCGCGCTCGGGGCACCTGGGGAAGCCCTGGAGACCAGGAAGCAGAGGCCCCCCCTGGCTCTGGCGACCCCTGGAGGGAGCCCTTCCTGTGGGGCGTGGGGGCCACCGGGCGCTGCACAGTGACAGAGACAGACACGGAGCACACACCGGACTGTGGCCCGCCCCCTGTCGTGTGCAGGCCGGAGACGCTTACCTAGGGAGAGTCCATTGGTGACGGCAGAGGAGGAGGTGAGGGCGAGGCCCCTGCGGGGGCTGCGGGACTCTAGGACACTGTCGTCCAGCAGGTGCCTCGCTTTCTCCGATGGGAATGTCGCACTTTTACTCTCAACTACACTCAACTGACACATCATACTGGAAAATGGAAAGGAAGAAAGAAGGCAAAGCTCCTTATCTGTGGAGTAACAGCAAGTACACCTGCCCTGGGATCCTGAGCAGATGGTGCTGCTGAAGGAAAAAGACTTCCACCCAGAACCGTGGTACAAGTCTGGGCTCTGCCCTATCTCATGGCGTGACCTTGGGCAAGTCACATCCTTTCTCTGAGCCTCAGTTTCTCCATCTGTCAAATAGGGACTAACGATACTTGCCCTGCATCTTTCAGGATGATGACAAGGCTCACATGAGCGGACAGTGCTTGTGAACGATGGAGCCACACAAGGGAAGGGGCAGCGCGCCTGGTTCTGGAGTCACACATCTGGTCCAAATCCTTATTCCAACCTTACTCACCATTGCAAAGTACTTCACCCGATCGAACCTGACAGGACTCCTTCTTACAGTGTATTGAATACAGCACCTACCTCGGAGGCCTGCAGGGGCTCAGTGACATAACGCTTGACAGGCACGTGGCAGAGTACCTAACCCAGAGCAAGCCCTAAACACTCAGAGAGCAACCCTTTTCCCCTCCAGCCTGTGAGTGACTCCAGGGCCAGCTTGAGCTGGCTGAGGCTTGTGTCTTAGTGGTGGAAGGAAGGAAGGGAGAGAGGGAGAGAGGGTAGAGAAGAACAGGGGGAGGAGGGATCCAACTGTTCAAGAGTCTGCGCCCAACACCCCGGGGACACAGGCATGGCTGGCCCGGCCATGATGCAGTCCACACATGCCCCCCAGCTGTCAGTCCCATAAGGCCGGGTGAACCAGTGACAGATTCACTGTTCTGCAGGCTTTCCGAAACAACTGGCAAGCAGAGACTCAGAGCCCCAACACTGGCAGGTGCCTTGAGACACTTGGTGATGTCCTGGATGACAGTCATGGCGTCCAATGGACTCTGGAGCTGTCCATAAGGGAGGCACTAACCGAGCTTGGGTAAACTTTCTGGAACCCCACCACTGCTTGCCTGCACTTCCCCGCATGCTTCCTCCACTGGCTCCTGAACCAGTGACACCTGTCACCAGCACACCTGCTACAGCCGCCCTCCCTCCAACTCCTCCTGAGCCTGTGCCAGCCTGAGGAGGGACACCGAGAGCACTTATCAGAGGGATAAGGGAGCCCCCCAGCGGACAAGCATCCCCAACGGCCCTAGAGCCCATGCCCCACACTCAGCCCAGTCTGGAGCCCACGGTGGGTGGGGAGGGGGCCGCTGCTCAGTCACCCACTTGTTTCCCAGGCTGTGGCTCTTCCTGTGTCTCGGGACAGGGGGCGTGGGGAGGCTGCCAGCAACAGATGCATCAGGACAGGTGGGCCGCCGGCTGAACCTCGCAGAACTGGAGCCAGCGGAGGGGCCTGTGAACAGAGCAGAGACAGAGAGAGCAATGGTGGGGGCTGGGCTGGGGAGGCTCAGAGGAGGGGGCCCCAGGTGGGGTAAGGCACCAGGCCCAGCTGTTGTAAGCAGGGCAAGGTTCACAGAAGCCTCGTGGCTTTCTACTCATGAGACACTGACCCCTCACTGGCAGGATAACTAGCCTCTGAACTGTCAAAATGGCCGGTGTCCTGCTATGCACGGCGCCCCGACCAGGCAGTGCCATTGGCTAATACGGCAAACGTGCAGATGGAGGTGGGGGTGCAGGCGGGGGTGGGCGTGGGGATTGGCAGCCTGGCCTGGTTTCCCCGTAGTAACGCTTATCCAGGGCCACCCAGCTGGGTGACAGCATCGAGACGTAACAGTGTGTCTCCTGAGTCCAAGTCCAGTGTCCGGGCCTCGTGCCCCTGTAGCCACTTTCTGTTCTCTGCTCACTCAACCAAAGGGGCTGGAGGGCTTCTCAGGGGGAGGCAGTGGATTTACTGAGGTAGGGCATGGCTAGGGAGGCAGGGGCTGAGACCCCAGGCCTATCAGTTACTGCCTGGTGACCTTGGACAGGTTACTTAACTTGATCCCTGAGCCTCGGGTTCCTCAACTGAAAAGTGGGAATAATCAGCTGACCTTGCAGGTGGTTGGAGGTCATGAGGTCATGTACATGGAGTTCCACAGACAGCGCTCCTACTTGTGTGATTCTGACAATTATTACCGTGTCCTCCTCAGCCCTAGTCATGGGGTCAACGGGAGGTCATGAGAGTGGGGAGTGGGGGGCTGGGGCCACAAACCGCACTGGGTGCCAAATGCAGAGATGGAAGCAGAATCCTTTGTGTGGCGTGGTCCCGACCACTACTGCACCCTTTTATTTCTGTGGCTTGGGAAGGGAGGTCTTGAAAGGAGGGGACCCCGGCTGCTAGTCTAGCCTTAGCTACTGGGACAGATGCTGGAAGTAAGAGACTGTGCTTCTACACAGGAGCTTGGCCGCTCCCAACAACACACAGCAAGTCAATGGGCTGCTGCCTAGCCACGTGCGGGAACTTTCCTGGAGGGCCCGTGAGGTCCACCCAGGGCTTCAGATCCTCCACCAGAAGATGCTATAGATCCACAAGGGACCTCAGGGTTCCCTGTCCTCCAGCATGCCTGGCTCATCTGACTTTCATGTCCTAAATAATGAGCCCTGTGCCCAGCCTGTAGCTGCAGAAAGTCTAGCTCCCTTCTGGCACTCCGGAAGGTTCAGGGGGAAGGGGAACGCACATCGTCCGGGGCGCGGACTTCCCGCTCCCCACTGTTGGCTCGCCTCTGCCTCCCGTCCACATCTGGCAGTGCGCACACCCCACCACCAATCCCTCTGTCCTTAAGCCCCTTCTCCACTTCCATGAGGAAACCGTGGCTGCCGGGTCCAGCCTTGCGACTGCTACCCATGGCCCCATCCACACGCGCCTCCCTGCTGGGCCCGGGGCTTGGGACTTGTCTCCTTCTCAGCTCTACCTGCTCCCTCTGAGAAGTCACGCCTTCACCTCCCCTTCTTTCCCTGGCCCCTTCCCCAGCCTATAAACACACCCTTGTCTCCCCTTCTCTGTGAAGCGAGGTCCCTTGGCCCTGTCTTCCTCCTGGCCAGTCGCAGCCCCTCAGAGGGCTGTGCTCCTCTTAGCTCTGCTTCCACCTCCACACCCATCCCTCGAGTCACTGAAATCTGGTTTCCATACCCAGTGACATTTCCACTGACCTCCTTTTTGTGAAACTAAGGAACACCCGTTGTCCCTCTCACCAGAGTCTGTGGCATCTGGTGCTGGTGACCAGTCCTTCTTGAAATGCTGTATGTCCTGGGTGTCCATGATGTCTCGCTCTCCTGCCTCTCCCTGTGCCTCTCTATTACTGTTACTCTGTCTCGTCCACAAGCTCCTTATCCTCCAACAAGCTCCCACACTGGTGTTTTCTACACAGGCTTCTCTCTTTGGCTCCTGATTTTGGTTTGCTTTTAACTCACCAGATATGCTGAGGACTCTGAAATGTATACTTTTCTGAACGTGAAACCAATATATCCAGGACATTTCCATCTGAACTTCTGTAAGGTACCCTAAGTTCAGCTCAGTGAAGGCTGAACCTGAAACCTCCTCCTGTATTTCCAACTCTGGACACTCAGCCACCTGGCCTGGAAGGTGGGGTTGTCTCGGCTTCTCCTGGACTGTGACTTGCCTCTTCTCTTCTTACCTCCTCTTAGCTTGCCATACACAATTGCCAAGGCCCCCAGATTCTGTACATTCCCTTGTACCCATTGCTCATGGCACTGCCTGGCCTGAGTCCCCATACTTGATCTTCTACCTCCAGTCTGAGCCTCTGAAATCCAACCCCCACACGGCTTCGCAAGTGTCTGAAAAAATGAGAAGGTGGGGACGCCATTTTCTTGCTTGAAACTGCGACTGGCACAGTGTTCATACACTGCCTGACCTGACTATTTGAGCTGATCTTAAAATCCTAATGGAAGAATAAAGGGACGAAGTAGCCAAAACATTTCTTAAGAATAGTAGAGGCCTCGGGCGCCTGGGTGGCTCAGTTGGTTAAGCGACTGCCTTCGGCTCAGGTCATGATCCTGGAGTCCCTGGATCGAGTCCCGCATCGGGCTCC